AAGAAGAAGAAGAAGAAGAAGAAGAAGAAGAAGAAGAAGAAGAAGAACTGAAGAAGCTTCTTGGATGAGAAGCAAAATGTTTTCAAAGAGAAAACCAAAGAAATCCAGTTGCCTTTTAGAAAAAGCACCGTTGGGATTTCTAGAGTTGGTGGGAAAAGAAGGAGAGATCAGATCGATTTTGGATTGGCTTCCTTCCCAAATGGTGTCCTCATCTTCAATAAACAGCTGCTTTAAACTCTTCATCCATGCCCTGAATGACAACCTAGATGAATTTTTTTTAAAATTTTTCTCCTAACTTTTTACAGGTCACCAGTATGGAACAGCAAATCACGGAGTCCAACTTGGCAGAGCGAAATGCAGCAACAGGTTTCAACAGCCAAGGTACTTCCCACCACTCGCCATGGGAGTGTTGAGAAAACTTTTGTGACCCTCCCTGTGTAGGGTTTCCTCACCCACTTGGAAATGGGTTGTTGTATACTGAAGCCCTCTGCCCCAAAGCCCAATTCTGCAGGAGACAAGCAGACTGAGCTAGGGATGATTGTGTTAAGTGCATCATTAGTTTACAGTTGTTGTGTTCCCACAAGCACTCCAAGTCAACCCTGCCCCCTGAATTCAGTTGACATTTTACCTGGCTCCAATTTAGCGTTCAACTTTAGTTGACCAAATTAATGTCAGGCACAAAGAATCAGGGTTATTCATAAGGTTGCAGCATAAAAGATTTATTCAAGCTTGTGGACAACAATCAGGTCAACTGAAGTTCAACCAAAGTTGGCACCAGGTAAGAGCCAATGGAACTCAGGATGGATTGAACTTGGAGAGCTTGTGAGAACGCAATGATTCTAAACTTATGGTGCACTTAACTCCACCACCACCAAGATCCACCTGTCCTTCTAAAAATTCACTGAGAAGATTCATCTCCACAAGGCAATTCATGGTGCCCAGGAACAGGTGTTCAGATCACTAGTGTAGAGGATCTTGGTGGTGGTGGAGTTAAGTGCACCATCAGTTTAGAATCATTAGTTGATGAATGAAACCTATGGCCGTCTATGGAGAGCCATTAGTTGATGAATGAAACCTATGGCCATCTATGGAGATAACTGGCTATTCAGTGGTGGAACCAAGAATATAGAAGAGTTTTTGCCCCGTTTCTTGTTGTCCAATTCACTCAACATTAGCATCTTGAGATAGCATGTTTGGAATTTCGCTCTTTTCCTAGCCTTGTCAAATGGCACTTCCCAGGTGGCCACCATAGTTGTTCCTCTCCCCAATTGTCCCTCCAAAGACCTTAGTTCTCTGGATGTCCAAGAACCTTTCCTGTCTTCTGATTTCTTTCCAGGTGGTCTTGGAGGAAGAGGGGCAAGAAACAGAAGTTGCTCCAGCCTGAACAACCGCAAGTTAACCCAAAGTTGCTTGCCGGACTCTCCAGACGATGAGGTTGTTGGCCGCAGCCAGACCACTGTGGACCGGCCTCGTAGCAGGACATGCTCTCAAAGCCGGCTCTCGGACTGTTCGCCAGAGAGTGCTGGCATTCCCGAGAGAGACTCTTTTGGCTTGGCCGGAGAAGACAAAGCCACCCCTTCGTCGAAGCCACTGAAGATGTGTTGTGGGGTCTTCAGCCATCCAGCTGCCCCACAGACTCTCTGCCCCCACTGCTCAGTGCCTGTAAACAGTTTGCCCCACAGATGCTTCAAGAGGACAGCCCAGCCACGGGGAAGGAAAAACGCCATTTGCAACATTGTCCGGTCCAGCAGTGATCCTTTGTCCTTTTCAGCTACTACAGAAGGTAAGGGGTGTTTAGGAATAAGGGCAGCTGCTTCCTGGTCCTGGTTTCCATCCGTTGCCTAACCGTCATTCATCCCAACACCACCATCAAGAAGGCCCTGTGTCAGGCCTCCCTCCGTTCAAAACCCAAGAAAGAAAACCATTGAATCCAAGAGTTTGAAGAGAGTTTTACTGAGTTTTACTGAGTTTGAAATGATAGCGGCGAAAGGAAGGCAAGATCTGAGCCAAAAGGCACTAAAGTTATATATTGAAAGTTTCCCCAAATCTCTCCCCTGCCCCCCAGGGACCCAGGCTGAATGTCTAATCTACAACCCACACAGTGTCATGTGGGGCACATCTTCAGATGCTTTCTGAGGTAATTAGTTTGGCAGGGGAGGAGCAGGAATTTCAAACTTGAAAGCACGGCAAAACTCAACATGCTTGGAAAGATGCCAGGAACACAGATAAGCAATGACCACACAAGATAAAGTCATGTTTGCTCCCAGCAGCTGCTGCGGTCAGCATTCAGTTCTTTTAAATTTTCAGGTGTGGCTAATGAAGGGAATCAGGGCCCTTTCCTCCCCCGTAAGCCATGCAACTCACGTTGCTCCCTTGTTCTCTCTCTTTCCTGCTCTGCCCAGTTGGACTTTGCCCTTCCCCAGTTTCATTCACAGCCAATGGAGCCACACTCCCACTCCCTGTCAGCTGTTCGTCTTCCTCCTCAGATTCAGACTCCAACAGGAGCATGACATCATGCCTATGGGCGGGAATCTTAACACCTGTAGGAGTTAGCTAAGTCAGTGGAATTAAAAAGGAGGTTGAACTTAGTTTGCTTGTGGCTACATGGGGATTCTAGGCTGAACCCTCATTTTACTCCACTTCCAGGTTCTGCCAATCCTTCTCCTACACCGTAAGCCCTAACTTGGGAAAGATCTTCTCAGAAGAGGAGACGTGGCCTCTTCAGCTGGTGATCTTCCCATTTTAGGAGTCATGAGGTTACATGAAGTCTTACAAGCTGGGCAGCATCTGTATGGTGATTTTGTCACCCTAAAAGATCCTTAAGCTAGCCAGGTGTCACTTCTCCGCTCCCAGTGGTGACCACTCTGTGACTTCACTAGGTGTATGTCCAGCTGAGCTATCATTTTAAAGCTCCTTTTCTCCCCCTCCGTCCCCACTCCACCCCCTTTTAGTTCCCGTGTCTGGTCCTCACGTGGCTGCCTCTACTTGCCAGGAACCCGGGAACCGACTTGTGCCAACCGGGAAACCAAGGGACCCCCCAAAAGCCGAACTTTCCCAGAAGCCAAAGGTCATCCTGAGCCTCTGCAAAGAGCGGCCCCATTCCCTGGTGGACCTGCAGGCCTACAAAGACACTAAGATTCTGGTGGCCAAATTTTTGGAACATTCGAACTGCAACTTGACCCCAGAAGTGCGTCATGTGGTCAACAGCATCCGGTCTGTCATCAAGTCTGATGAACGGCACATGGAAGAAGCCATCTTTAGCGCCAACATCATTGATCAGGTGAGCAGCCTCTCTGAGTTGCTTGGTGGGACCAGGATGGGTGGAGGAGAGATTGAATCAATGTGCCCTAAGTAGTCAGGTCCTTCTTTCCTTCCCTTTCTTTCGATCTCCTTCCTTCCTTTCCTTCCTTCCTTCCTTCCTTCCTTCCTTCCTTCCTTCCTTCCTTCCTTCCTTCCTTCCTTCCTTCCTTCCTTCCTTCCTTCCTCCCTTCTCCTTCCTTTCCCCACTCTTGCTTGCTTACTTCCTCCCTTTCTTCCCTCTCCTCTCCTTCCCTCCTTCCTTCTTTCCTTCCTCCCTCCCTTTCTGTCTCCTTCCTTCCTTACTCTCTCTCCCTTCCTACATTTCTTTTTTCTTTTTTTTTCCTTTTCTTTCTTTCTTTCTTTCTTTCTTTCTTTCTTTCTTTCTTTCTTTCTTTCTTTCTTTCTTTCTTTCTTTTCTTTCGCTGTCCAACTCACAATGACTTACAGAAAGCCCCAGTCCAAACCCCAGTAAATCTCCATCCTCCCCCAGCCCCCCAGTGACAACGATCCACTCAAGCCCTTGGTGGGCCCTGCCTCACCGTTTCTTTCACCTGGCTCTTCCACAGGTCATCATGGGCTCCCAGCAGACTATGGATACCTCGAGAAAGTGGCTTCAGGAAGACCTCCATCTCCAGAGCTGCGGAGCCCTAAGCTCTCCTGTTGCCTTCCTACGCAGGGCCCCCATCACACATGCCTTTGAAAGAGGAAGACCCCACAGTTTAATTGAAGTGTGCCGAGAGACCATCCTTTGAGCATGGGCCTTTTGCTCCACTGAGGAATACAAACTCTGCAAAAGAGATTCTGGGGAACTGGGGAACGGATGGAGATTCATCCCCTCTTCCCTGGCTGTCTTGGAAGAAACAAGAGGAAAGTCAACCAGGGTCTCTGGAAGAGTCTTCCTCTTGTAGAGTTCCACGCTAGATTTTGATTCCCAAGGCTGAGCACTCAACTCTTCATGACTGCATATTCAACCAAGACTCTTTTATGGGGGGAAAAATGGCTTCTTATTTAACAATGAAACAAACAAACAGAAAACCCACTGGAGCGTAGCTTTTTCTCCTCCCACCAAGCTAAGTTCTATGGGTCCGTCTGGGGAGTAAGGGAGACTGGGGAGGGGCTGGGGTAGAGTGGGATGGGGCGAGGGAAGGAAATAAACTTTCTTGCTAAGCCGCAGTGGTCCTTCTGTACAATGTAGGAGTTGCATTTTAATCATTGTACCTCAAAAGTGTTTGCACCAAATCTGAACAGTGTTTTCATAATTAAAAGGGTATTTCTGGAGACAACCGACTTCCAGAACTGATTTTGTGCTGGCAATAGATCAACCTCTCTCTCTTTCTCCCTCTGTTATCGTTGTTGAGTTATTTGAACTGAAGAACAAAAAAAAAGAACAAAATTGAGAATGTGGTTTCCAATTCCAGCGTGGTCACTAACATGATATTTCGTTTGGGGTTTATGTAATTCCCATTTTTTCTCAACCTAGATTTGGTGGACTTTAGGAAATTCAAGTTCAAATTCCCCATCAATAACTGAAGTTCATGGAGAACATTAAACTTAATCGCATTCTCTCCATCCAGCCATGGTTGGGTAGTTCTTGAGAAGATTGGAAGAAAAGGGTGTTGTATATATCACGGTTAGCTTCCGAAGGAAATGTGGAGCAAGCATCTAACCAATTCCTTCGTTGTTCTGTGGAGGAGCTTTAGATCATCTCTTATTCTGCTCACTTAAGGCCCTTTCTTCAGAACTCCACTCTTACCTCACTGTAATTCTCCTGAGGAAACCCATGTGAACATCTCCTTCTGGAGTGGTAGTCAGTGAAAACACAATTTATTTCACCCCATAATGTCTGACTATGCTGGCTAGAAATCGTAGAAGGTGAAGTCTAACCCACCAAGTTTTCCTCCTCCTCCTCTCCCCCATCTACAGCAGGAGCTTCAAAAGTTTGGAGAGGAGAATAGCCCAGCAAACCACCATATTTGGAAAGTGCCTTTTGAGCATGAATCTACAGTGACCTCCAGTGGAGCACCAAGGAAGTTGAGATGCTCACCAACTGGTGCTCCTCAGAAGTCTACAAGACCAATATCTGATGGGTAGAAGAAAGGCCAAGCAATGCATTTATCTACAGCAAGACCTTGTCCTTTTCCAAGACGTTGTGTTTGCCCATACTTCCCACATGTTCCTTCGAAGGAGACTTAGATACCACCGGCCTTGGCATGGTGGTTTGCAAAACAACCAAGTGAAGCTGTACTGTTTCATGACTCCAAATTTATTAGTGAGTATAGATTAATTCTCTCCTAGGGTCCCTGGCATGCAACAAAGCTCTACAGTGTTACTCCTTGAAGTAGAGTAACGCTATGGTTTTCGTTACGGTACGCTAAGGCTTTCTTTCTTTTTGTCACAGTGTTGTTCTTTTCTTCGACCACAGGAGAGAGGAAAAGAAATCAAGACGAAAAGAGTTACATCAGTTGACATTTATCTTGTAATGAACACATGATACTATTCCTTGGTAATTCATTGCCACAAATCTTAATACTGCAGATGGCAAAGATTCTGCATTCGGCGTCACCGTTTACATTCAGACATGTTGGCTCAGGAGAATCGAAGACAAACAGAACGATATTAAACATTTGGATATAAAAAAGTCATATTTTAAGCATGGCTTTCCGAGAGTGAACCGAAGGTCAACGAAAGGGTGATATGGAAGGCGGTGGGACGAGAAAAAGAGGACCCATTTCCCTGGTTTTCCTGACTGGCAGAACTCTAGGAACAGTATTTTCAGCGTTCAAAAGAATCGGCCTCTCCAAAACTGAAATGCATCTCATCGAAATAAATATCCTGCATTCGTATTGCAAAGATTCTTTCGCTTTTTTCTTCTTCTGGCAGATATATTAAGAATTCCCCCCAAAGGTGTTTTGGTTTGGTTTTTTTTTTCTTTCCATATCACTCACATTCACTCTGGAACCTTTCTACTTCACATACAAACCACGTCTCATCAAAAGTCACGTGACGACAATAAGGATACCAATGACAACAGCAGGGGTATTTCTCGTTTGATAGCAATGGACGCTCTCCCCCCCCATCCCCCAAACCTCCCTCCAGCACCCCCTTTAAAACTGCACCCCTTCTCCGCCCCCCCCCCCCGCCCCGAGTCCACCGTGTTGGGGAAGGCGCAGACCAGTGGAAGCACCCCACGTGGAAAGGGCCTGTTTCTGTAGACTGGTCCACGTGTGCCTCGTGGCTGAAGGTGGCAGAGACAGACGGAGGACAATGGACATGCTGGAATCACCTTAGAGTAAAGTATTAGAAGTACGTAGCAAGTGTCTCTCTGCAGCCAGAAGGTTCAAACAGCCATGGGACTTGATCAGCTTTGTGGTGGACTTCATCCTGAGTCATGAAGACGGAGATTGTCGATCATGTGGCTGGAAAGATGGTTTCTGTGGTTATTTGCCATCCTCTTTTGGCAAGGTTTTCAAAGGAGAGAGGGGTCAACTAAGAAACAAACCCAACAGAAAAAAAGGCAAAGGAACTGGATCCATGGAGTGTCCAGCATATCCAGTCTTGGGTTCAAATCGTGCCCGTTTCCTACAAAATACAACATTTCTCTGGAAGTTTAAGCTTAGGCAGCAGGATATGGTTTGCTGGAGGAGCAGCTGAGTTTCTCTTTTAGATGTAGAGTGGAGTTTCTTGACCGGTGAGCAGCCGGAACATGGCAGCAGGCATTGTCTTCATGTGGATCTGTTTGAAAGAGAATTGGGGATGATGATGATGAAGGACTGGAGGCTTCAGACTGGCTGACTACAGCCATTCTTCATGGTTAGTGTGGACCTTGGATGTGGTCAAGATAACCGTTAAGGTCAAAGCCCATCAACAACCAGGGCAGAGATGGAAGAGGTGTCTTCCTAAAGCCATGACCAACCACAGTATACCTAACACCCAACAGTCATCACCCTTATGAAGTTCTGATTCCCAGGAGCTCAAGGCAGGTTGTGCAGGCCACAAAAATGTGGGGGCAACAGCTTATTGCCCCTGAGACAGCCAATACTGAACTTGATGGACAGACGTGGACAAAGATGGAAAGACAATTTCCAAGGTACTAAAGTATCATCCCTAAGTAGAGGACACTTCTTAATGTGATTTTGGAGCTGTGGTGGCGCAGTGGTTAGAATGCAGGATTGCAGGCTGACTCTGCCAACTGCCAGCAGTTTGATCCTGACCAGCTCAAGGTTGACTCAGCCTTCCATCCTTCCGAGGTGGGTAAAATGGGGACCCAGATTGTTTGAGGCAAGAGGCTGACTTTATAAACCGCTTAGGTCTGTAAAGGACTGTGAAGTGATCTATAAGTCCTAGTATTGCTAATCCTTCCTTCCCTTCCCTTCCCTTCCCTCCCCTCCCAATGGTTAGAATGCAGAATTGCAGGCTTAGTCTGCCCACTACCAGCAGTTCGATCCTGACTGGCTCAAAGTTGACTCAAGTCTTCCATTCTTCCAAAGTCGGTAAAATGAAGACTCAGATTGTTGAGGGCAAGAGGCTGACATTTGTAAATCACTTAGAGAGGGCTGTAAAGCACGGTGAAGTGGTATACAAGTGCTATTGCTATCTTCCTTCATGCACTCTGCCATCCCAACCATGGGGCAACTTGTGAAGTTTGGTATGACATTTCTGGTCCGGTTGCCTAGCTTGGAATGTACTAATGGTTCTTTCTTTTGATTAAAAAGAAATAAAAACCACTTGTATCTTTATCACCGCTAAAAAAAAAAAGCACACTAGGAAGACTCACCTCTCCTACGGAGTTGGACAAGGCTTGGACAATCTTCTCATGAGCTGTAGCGACGACACTTTGACCGTTGATCTCGATAATGCGATGCCCTACCCGGACCCCGCCTCTCTCTGCAATCCCACCTCGCATCAAGCTGCAGATCTGGATGGAGAAAAGGAGAGGGGTTCAATTAAATGGAAAAGGGGCAGTTTGGTTGGAAATAATGGGAAGGTCTTCTTAGCTATCACACTACAGAAATCATGCATTTCCCTTGGTTGATGGATTCAGTCTTTTACCCTCTGACATCTTTTACCATCTTTACCCCCTGCTTTCTAAAGGTGGACAAAGAAAGAGCAAAAGTTACTCAACAGTAGGAAGCTAAGAGGATCACAATGGGCAATGCCAACCCAACATCAATAGGGAAGGAAGTTGTTGAAGTAGCAGCAGAGTGGATCTTAAGATTTAAAATTTTGCAAGGATGGTGCCTAAGCTGAAGTTGGGTCATGAGACATCTGCAAGCCAACCACCACGCTCAGAGGCCATGAAGGCCTCCACAAACTCTGATGATGACTCCTTAGAGCACAATCCAGAGGTCCTGGTTGATCAGGAAATGATCCTCCACATCCCAGCCCACCAGTGCCTCTCTCCTGATGGAACTGGAATGCCTTCATCTAGTTCATGCGGGAAAGGAGAACGAGAGTCAGAGGTTTCTCCTAAAGCCCCGTGATCCTCGTGCTTTTAAGTGTGCGCTTTCCCCAAAGGAAACTCCACCACTTCCTGTGAGTGCCGGCTGGAGAACAGCGTAGAAATGGTTGCTATGGGAATAGGTCCCTACGCACACACAACGCGCATACAAATGGGCTTTAATTCCTGTTCTTGGGTACATCCTGACTCTGGGAAGTGCTTTCTTTCAAAAGCCTGTTAGGAAGTTGATACGGTGCACCAAATAGGCTGGAAGTTTTGAAACCGTTTCCTGGAGAAGTGGGTCTTCTCGCTGCCTGGCGTCCACTTTCGTTGACATTTGGGGAGAAGAATTTAGGTTCAAGAAGAAGAAGAAGAGGTTAAAGAACGGATGGTCAATGGGGGCTAAGAATTTGGATTATCATATACAGATAGACCCACGGAAAACACATGGTCAAAAGGCTTGATTTTTACATTATATTAAAATTTGCATATTTCTTTGTTTGCTTTTATTTATTTCTTTTTTCTTCCTTAGTTTAAATGAATTGGTATCCGTTTTTATCTTCTTTTTAAAACATTTCAATAAAAATCCTATTAAAAGAAAACCAATCTGGCTCTTCTTGTTATTGTAATACTGCAAGAATTTTTTTTTAAAGGTTTTGTTTATTTACGAGCCAAATTTCCTATGGAAAACCCCAAACAGTTTGGTCTTTATAACCCGCTCTGGCGTTATTTCTCAGCACCCAGAGTCCTGTAGAAGTCTCATCTTATTGCAAGACATCAATTTGGAGGTTGCTGTGGAAGTAACCGCCGAGAAGAGCAAATTGTGGGTTAGGTTTCTGCACCAGGAATTTTCCTTAATCGTGAATATATGTTATAGCCACTAGATGGTACTAAGCGACAATTAAAAAGTGGCCTAGCAGATGATAGAACAATTCCGAAGCCATCCGGTGGTTCTATATGGGTGGCCAAAGCTGCATAAGACCTCTGGCACAAGCACCTGGACTGGAAGCATCTCCTTTTAAAGGAGGAGAACTTTAAGGAACCCCATCATCCTGTCCTGAAGAACCAAACATGAGCCTTCACGCCCCCACATACAGTTGTTGTTGTTGTTAGTTGCGAAGTCGTGTCTGACCCACCGCAACCCTATGGACAATGTTCCTCCAGGCCTTCCTGTCCTCTACCATCCCCTGGAGTCCATTGAACCTCAGCCAACTGCTTCAGTGACTCCATCCAGCCACCTCCTTCTCTGCCCTCAATCATTCCAAGCATTAAGCTAGTCTCCAGCGAGTCCTTCCTTCCTTCCCATGAGGTGGCCAAAGTCTTTGAGTTTCATCTTCAGGCTCTGGCCTTCTCAAGAGCAGTCAGGGTGGATCTCCTCTAGGACTGACCGGTTGGATGGCCTTGCAGTCCAAGGAGTCTTCTCCAGCACCAGAGTTCAAAGGCCTCCATTCTTTGGCGCTCAGCCTTTCTTAGGGTCCACCTTTCACAGCCATACATTGCCACTGGGAAAACCATAGCCTTGAAAACCATATACAGCAAGGCTTCTCAATTTCCTTCCATTTCTTCAAATTGTAGCTTTCGTTAGATAGTGTCCTTTCATGGTTCCTTTTCAGGAACCAAGCAGATACCCTCGATGTGATCAACAGCTTAAAGAACCTCCCAAGGTTCCTTAAGCTGTTATATCAGGAGGTAGGGGAGAGAGAAATACGTGTGGTGACCTTAAGTCAATGCCACAATGTACATGATCTCAATGGAAGACACCAGGACATAATTGTGGCCCTTGCATGATGACATCACTTGAGTGTGGAATCGTTTTAGTGTCATGATAGTTGGACCATGCTGGACCGTCTTTGATGCTCCCACATGCTTTATTCTTCCTTTCATGTGTGCGAATGTTACAAATACAATGACCAAACTTGGAATCTGTTGTTCCTGATCAGGTCAGACTTATAAGTCAAATATGGATTTCTGAATTTTGACCAGTTTGGGATCTAAGACCAAAACATCATCTGAACTCAACTGTTCCTTGACTTACTCTACCCACTGGAAAGAAGTGGAGAAGGCACCAGCTCTGTATATCATCTGGGTGCTCATTGCAAGCTGGGTGAAGGCACGAATATTTGTGAGGACACCAAGTTTTTGTGGCAGACTAACATGGCTTCTTTTCCAGGACTTGTCCACAAGACAAGACAAGACACCCAAGCATTGAGTTGCCCTCTTCTGTTGAGGATAAATTGCTTTCCCAGCCCAATTATCATATCCAGGATTGAACGAACGAAAAGACTCACAATTCCATTCTGTACACTGAAACCCAGCTGGTATTTCAGATCCGGGCGCTTGATTAGGACAGTGGTGACCGGAGGGCAACTGACAATGTTCAATTTCACTTGTGTCTGATTCTTAAGACCCTGCAGAAGACACTCAACGTTAGTCATTATCTCATCAAGCAAAGCAAGTTAGACAAGATGGACATCCGGAACTGGCCAGAAGAAAATCATGACATCACCACACCAAATGAGGCAACAGGTGTAACTTGCATCCTTTGCAGAATGTCACAATTGGCCTAGTGCCTGGGCTACTTTAAATGATGGTTAGGGATTCTCAACATGTTGTCAGAACTCACCTGGGCACTTAGTTTGTGGCTCAACATAGGTTTGAGATAGGTGTCAGAACCTAGCCAATATGTAAATATGATAATAGGAGGAATTAATGTGGAAGCCACTAGTGTCATTCCATCCTCCCAAATGACCAGCTGACACAAATAAGGATAGATGTGTACCTTAATGATTCCTTGGCAGGTTGCTAAAGGAAGGCCAACTAAACTGGTCCCATTAATGGACATAATCTGGTCTCCGATGCTGAGCTTTCCAGAACGAGCTGCCGGCCCTCCATTCATCATATTAGCCAGGATGACCGTGGGCAAAATGGACCCCCAGCCAGACTCCACGACCACCACACCAAGGATCTCCCCCTTGTGTTTGGCAATCTGCAGCTGGAAGACAAAAGAGCGGAGAGGATGCTTGTGGAACATCTGGAGAAACAGGAGGTGGTTTCTTCTCCAAGCATGTTCTCCAAACGTTTGGGTGCACAATCTCCAGAGAACTGCTGCAGGCTGTTGCAAAACACTTTCCCTGCGTGCAGAAGAAGTCCAGCCTCCATCAAGCTTGACTTAGTTATTTTTTTGAAGAGAAGACATGGTTGTTGGGGAAATCTGAAGTGACTTCTTTGGGCTGGCCTAGGAAACAACCAGGGCTAAGAACCAGGGCCCTTTCCAGAAAAATGCCGCATTAAGCAAAGTGACTTCCATCCTGCCTCTGTTTGGCAAATATTTCCACCCTCAAGTTCATTCTCCTCATTCTGCATTGTGACTCCTTCAAGGAAAACCTAGTTTGTTATTGACTTTCTCCAGTAATGCAAACAACGGGCCAACAGGCACCAGGGAGGATGCGTGCTCACTCCCTCATCCTGAATCTGAGTAGATTACAATTTATTTACCCTTCCCCCAGTATTGATTTAAAATCCAATTTCCACCTGGCTTGTATATTTTGGCTTCGCTTCCCATTCCTTTGGCTGCCTTTCAATGTCCAAGCATATTGCTTCTACACAGCCCGAGCTGTCAAGGATAGAGAGATGACTCGCCTTGTGGTTACACCTATGCAGCTAGTTTCAAGAGTAGTTTTCTCCTCCAAAATGACTTTTCAAGTATTAAACACCCTCAGTCCTCCAAGGCATCTTAAAACAGGTAAATGTGATAACTCACCCCTTTGTTTTCCAAAAACAACAGCAAAAAAATGACTGTCCTTCCATCCATCCATCATCTATAACATGTGAGGCTACTCACCTCACAAGAAATGACTCTGGTTGGTGCACAACAATAAAAAAGGTACAGAAAAAGTATTGGTTCTTTCTAGAGGATATTCTGGATTTATGCCACTCCGATAGGGTAGCCCTCAGTGGTGGATTAAGGCTCACTGGTGCCCTAAGCCCTGACAAATCTTGGTGCCCCTCCTCCTTTGTACATACTATACAAACGAAGCCATATTCTCAACTTTGTGGTGCCCCTTTGGGCCTGGTGCCCTAAGCATGTGCTTAGTCTGCTTCATGGTTAATACACCACTGGTAGCCCTGGTCAACCTCTCGGGGAACTTAATTTCACTCTTCTACCCTGAAGGCTTTGCAAATGACCTCTTGAAACTACAGCTAAGTTCTCAGCAGTGACCTTACGCACAAGGAAAGGTTGAAGGAGCTTCCAAGGATAAAAAAACATCCCCCACCACCCCAAAATCACCCAGTTCAGAAAAAGGCAATCACCTCTTTGCAGTTCTCTGAGTTGGAGAAGTGAATCAAGTCATCATTATACATTTCCTGGGTGTTGATGATGTCGCTGTATTCTTTCTGACTCAGATCTTCGGGGTTGATGCCGTTGGCCCGGAGAAATTCCTGATAGGCCACGCTGAAAGCTTGTCCGATTGATTGAGCGATCAGCTGGGCCTTCAAGAGGAGAAGGAAAGAGATCAGGATCTTTGGAGAGGAACAACATACTTGTTGGCCAACTGAAGAGATCGGCTCATCCTATCCTGGAAACTGACCCCACTGGACAGTGTTTTTATTTTGCTGTAGAAATGGAAACGGTTTGGATGAAGACTTGTAAAGATAAAAAACAATGAGCTAAGCCAACCTTGCAGGACCAGCTAATAAGAACAGAATGGTTGTCACAATTATTTGGGGTTGGGAGGGGAGACAAGACTTGATGAGCTTCAGTTGCCTTCCTTAAGTAGAGATCACCTTAGTTTTTGGTCCTTCACCACTAACACTACTTGGGAGAAAATGAATTCCTCTGTTTTTAAGATTTTGAAGCTTTCTTTCAACAAATACGTCTCCAGGAGTCCAGGAGACTAACAGGACAAATAAAAGAGGAACCCTTTTCTCCCATAATGCATAATTGGGTTTGGAAATGGACTATCTTCAGATTATGGCACCAGCCGTAACATCAGACGTATTTCTAAGGCCATTAGACTCACTCTTGGAGTATCAGATTATCAGAGGCAATTAGCTCTGATGGCTCTTGCAATAACCTAATTGATTAGATAATAAAAGACAACATATGATTCCACAGTGTTATGTGAGCCCTTACTCCAGATTTCCTACTCTACTCTGTTATTCTCTAAGGTTTATTGGATTTCAGTTCCCATAATTGCAAAGAGATGTGCCATCCAAGGTAGAAATTATGGAACATAGAGTCCATCCCTGTGAAGAATATTGGACCAATATCTAGAAGGCTTCTATTCTGGCTAGAATTTATGGGAATTGGGTTCCAGAATATATATAAATATATATATAAAACTTAGTAGATTGATAAATCTGGAGGACTGGAATTTATGGAGAGTTGGGCACTAAAACATCTACAAAACTTGATTCTATGGAGCTCCTTCCGCCCTTAATCCTTTTCCTTTATTCCAATTTTTAAAATTCCAAGTTCTAGGTAAGTGTTTTTCAAACTGGCTGGGGAATTGAAAAGCATGGTTCTAGGTGTACCACTGGAATATTTTGACCTTCATACAAGTAAGAGAGAAGGATAATTCATGATTTTCAACAGTTGGGTTCAACTCTGCCTTGGCCAAAGGTTGTAACATGAACATTTTTCAAAATGAGGTGCTAATTGTTCACAACGGCATCTTGTGTAGAATTTCTGTGTGGCCATGTAAGATAGGAAAAATAGGCAATTCTTGGACACTAGATGTCACTACAGCAGAGACAGTATAAGTGTCTGTTGTGGGTCATAACATGGACTTCTAATTTGAAAAGCACCTGTAAGAAGACCCAGAATTAAATGCTCGCTGAAGCCATTTAACATTACTCTTCTTTCTGGTCACTATTCTGGAACCAAACCAGCTTCCTGTTCTGCAATCATATGGCTCAACTTTTTAATATTTTAGCTCTTCTGCAACCGTCCTTCACCAAAATAAAATATGGTGACTGAGAATCTGCAGCCAAGAGAGATCTGCATGAAGATGTAAAAGAATTGCTCGGTTGGTTGAACACCTTCTTTATGTGAAGACCATTCCTGGCATCTTGAGTGTAAAAGATCAGGTAGGAGGTACGCAAGAAACATCTCCCTTGGAGAATCACCAAGGGTCAAGTCATGGATGGATGGATAATGTTCACTCACATCCTCAGATTCAAAAACGTGGCAGATCATCTTATACTGTTTCTTCCCTTCTTGCACTCCGGGGGTCGTCTCGATGCAATCCTGGGATGCTGACCGAGGCATTCGACGGCGAGCCATCAGCACCACGATGTTGCCAATGTCAGCAATGTAAGAGATGGTGCGCAGCGCATGGTCCATCATGGTTTCCTGGAAGAAGGGGACGAAGAAAGCAAACAACAGGCCCACTTGAAAAAGGTTGCATTTGTTCTCAGTCAATGCAAATTAGGTATATCCCAAAAAAAACAAAAACAAAAACCCCAAAGGTTAAGAGAGGAAAAATACAATACAAATAGTCCTTGTCTTAGGACGGTAAAGGAACCTGGAATTTCCATTGTAAGTCAGTCGTAAGTCAAGGCACCCAAGCAATTGGACCCAATTAAAAACTTTTTTTTGGAAGCCATTAAATCATTGTATTCCGATAGTTTCTCCGCCACCCCAGAAACCAGCTGAAAAGGCCAGAAACTGGCAAACATAATAAGTCAAAGTTGCACAACTGCAGAACACTGCAAGTGGCCCTAACGGTGAGCCAGTAGCCAAGTGCCCCAAATGGGGTCGTGTGACCACAACGATGTGTGCAGCCATTGGAATTCTGGAACCAGGTCATGAGCAGCTTTTAGATGGTTGCTAAACGAGGACAGCCTCTATGGCGAAGTTGCAGTGGCTAATCACCAACGGTTAATAGACCTCACTCTAATATGAGCAATTGTGGTTGAAGTCCCATATTTCATATCATGGGTAGGCCTGCCTGGTGATCCCTTTTTCCTTTCCTACTGCCAATGCAAAATGAATAACAGAATCCAACCCCCTGCCCAAGCAGGAGACCCTCGTTCATTTCAGACAAAGGGCTATCCAATCTCTTCTTGGAAGCCTCCAGCACCCACAATTTCTGGAGACAAGCCGTTCCATTGGTTAATTGTTCTTAATTAAACCATTGAATGCGACTTCACTCCCTGGGTGAACAACTCAACTCTTGCCTTGCCTTTCAGATGGCATCCTAGAAAAATTGCCAGTCACCACACCTGGATGAAAAAGAAGGGCATCCAGACTGCAACTGAAACTGGCCAGGATCAATGACAGGCGGAGTTGATATTCTCGCGCGGTTTGACTTTTGTCCTTCAACTCTTGCCCCAGAGACCCCTCTGAGCATCCAAGTCAACAGAGGTCCACAAAGGGCAACTCCTGATTCGCCATGGCAGGAAGGAAATTAATTTGTTCAGAGCCCTCTTAGCACCTCCAGTCTTGCTTTTAGCTATGGTGGACCAGCACAAAGCAGACGGTTGGCCTTTCTGGGTTCACAGTGGCTTTCATTATTTACATGCGGCAGCGAAATGCAACTATGAAATTCATTTGCTACATCGGCTACCTTGCTCCATTGTGGTTTGTCATTTTATTAAATACCAGGAATAAACCCAGAACCACATGGTGGCCACAATCAGACCTTTTCATAATGACTCGAACAGTTGCCTGTCTGGGAAAACCTACAACCAGAAAGTTGAGTGAGATGCTTGAAGAAAGAGTCACTTTTCCGGGCCTGGCAGGATAGCACAGAAAATCCTTGTTTAGCAACTGCTCCAAACAGTGACTGCAGTCATGATGGGGATTGGAAAAAAAGTCATTTTTGCAGCCCATTCTTGCATTTACAAGCTTTGCAGGTCTGTAAAATGAAAGAAAGCTGAATTTGGCTCATAAGCACCATTCGGACAAGGACAAAGATTTCAAAATCTCTGTTTTGCGGGCTTGTGGGATTGGGATTGAGGAAGAAATGTAAGATATATGGAAGAAAACTAAAAATGTTGAAGGATCCACTGTCATTGTTACAGGACATGGAAGTGCTTTGGAATGAGTGTTCAAGAACTTTTCTAAATTAAAATGCAAGGAATCTTCTCTTGGCCAAAAGCTCAGATCAGCACATTTTTTCCAGCCTTTCTCCATCTGATTTCAACCCTCAGAATTCTCAAGATGGAGAATTCCACAGATGAAGATCCAAACTTCATCTGGAATGAGAGAGGGCAGCTACCCTGAAGCCAATCTGCCTTTTGACAAAGTCACACAGGGAGATGGTCTCCTCCATCTTCTCTTTCCTCCAATTTTCCTTTCCAACCAACAAGATGGGAGAAGAAAAAGGGTGAGCTCTTCTAGACATCTGAATGGGACACTTGTAGAAACGTTGGGAGATTAGACTTTGGCCCATCAAAATTATTTCATGGCCCTGTAATGGATGCCGCAGTGACGGGACTGAATGCTTACCTGGGTGTCTGCATTAAGAACTTTAATTCTCTGGGTGGAGATGAACAGGTCCACCTCTGTCAAAGCATGGACATCTCCTTCAGAAGTCTAAAAAAGACAGTAGTAAATTCACTTAAAGAATGTTCTTGAAATAGCAGGCTCCTCACAGACTACTTCGGATATGATGTGACATACAACAGGAACACAGAGTGATTTACTGTGACACAGGACAGCTATTTGGAATGATTAGTTTTCAAAAAAAGACATGCAAAGCTTCAACGGTACAAATTAACTTTCCAGTTTCAGAGTTCTGCCTTTACCAAAGATGGGAAACAAGGCAAGAGAGATTCTAAGTCTGAAGTTTTGCTTCTTTAGCAATGATCTCCAGTGGAATAATTATATTAATCAGATGAGGCTGAAACTCAGAAAACTTTTTAAAGATCAAGAGGTGATTTATACGAAGGGGATTTTATTCCAGGAGTTTAGGGTAATAGCCAAACTTGAGAATCACACACATTTTGGCTGGCTTTCCTGCTTTAGACCACCAATGGGCAGAAATGGGACTTGTTGGATCTACTCTGATTTATTTTCGTCTTTATTAAAAACCCTAAGTTGATGTATGACGTATAAAGTAGGAGTTTTAGCATTAAGGATCAAGCTCCATTCAATTGTTTTTCCCCAGCAGCCATTTCGCTCAAAAATCCATTCTCTGTTCTTTTTTCTCCCATCAACCTCATCTTCAGAACCAAGGCAAGTTGACCTTAAGAAAAGAAACGCTGGGCTGGCAGATTGAAAATGAAAATAAATCATGACTATTCCTGTGAGCCCTTTCTGCTACCGCGGGAATCAACAGAAAGAAACTTTTGCCAAAGAAAAATATTGTGTTTATTGAAGCATAATGAAAATTAAAAAGGAAAGGGGGAAAAATGTCCAAGTAGCACAGCGAGAAGACTTGGGGAGAAATGGAAAGTTCTCCAATGAAACCAACTGGCCTCCATCCCTCCAACCAGGCAGATATGTTTTTATACAGACATAAACACAAAAGATTCATACTACGGTTTCATGAACTTCCACACAGAGAAGCACAACAGGATGCACAAGGACGATTAAAGAAGGGATGGGTGGGTGAAAAAGCCAAAAGCAATCCAGAATGTGAAACAGACATTAGAATTCAAGAAAAACAGTTTTACACACCGCTTTTTTCTTGATTTTAGCTGCCTTTTGCATCCTCTTGGGGAGAACGAGAAGCATTAAAAATAAATAAATAATACATAAATCAAAGGGAAACAGACAAATGCATAAAAGGGGAGGGGGGAGGAGAAGAAGTGGGGGGGTGGAAAACCATCTTGGGGAGTTAGCAAAATATTTTGGAAATCCCTCCTCTCGGGGATCCCAAAAATGTCCCAAGTGGGAATTTAACAGAGGGGTACCCTGCATGCGAAAGGGTCGTGGGGCACCATTCTGAGAATGAAGCAAGCATTTCAGAGGGAGGCCAAACTCACTGCTCTTTTGTCTTCTTCTCAAACATCAGGCGATCTTCTCATTTCCCTAGAAGATCTTTGCTTGCTTTTGGTAAACCAGAAATTTCAGGCTTTTTAAGGACAGGGGTCTCCAAATTTGACAACTTTAAGACTTATGGACCAACTCCCAGAATTCCCCACCCAGCACATGCTTAAATTCTTAAAGTTACCAAGTTTGGAGATCCCAGGTCTAGGACATTAAATATGGCAGCCACCAGTGAGATTAGACCAAGCCAAACCACCAAAGCCTGGGAGATATTTACAAAGAATATTCTTTGGGGGAATATTCTATTGTAATAATTATTTGAAAGTTATTGGCCACCCAAGTCTAGTGATGCTCAATGGGAGAATTCAAGGGGCCTGTGCCAGAACATGGCAACATGCATTGCAACTAAGAAAGATGTGATTGCCACCAAAAACAGCGACCACATCCAGTGTCTTCTCCAGCAATCCAGAAAACCTAGTAGAACTTATTTTTGTTGTCATGTTGTCTTGCATTTCTCCAATCTTGTTGAGAATCGGTTACAATGACAGCCCTACAACACAAGTGTGTTAGACAGCGCCAAGAGGGGAAGAGATGGCACTCCATACATTCTTAATAAACAGCTTGAACTGAGTCATGCTTCCATGAACATCAATGCGAGTGGTTGGTTACAAAAAGGGAATCGAACTAAACATTATGAGTTCACCCACCTAATTAGGATCAGTGTATCTAATTAGACTTAAGAAATATGGGGACGATGTTATGTTCTGTACATATCTTACACATCCTTACATAAGAAAATCTACAGCTGTCTCATCCAGTGTCACTTTCTAGAAAGGTTAGGTTGAAATGAGTTTGAGAAGGTTGCCATTATTACCTTTATCCAGTATGTTTTCACATATTTGCAAGATCACCACATATAATAAAATGAACCTGGATTTTGACTATGTTTCCAGCACTTATCAGAAATCCCTTTATATATTTTCACTAGTTTATCCGGGGGTCAGGTACCAACGATATATCATTTTACAAAAGTTTTCTTTCGAGCTATAATTTTATGTAATTTGTAGTCCATTCATCCATACATTCTCCCATTTATCTAGCATTATATTATACCCCCCCAAATTACCCATTTTTTTACTATACATTCTCTAACATATTCACCTTTTTGGTTCATCTTGAGTCACATTTTATATGCTTTAGAAATCAAGGGGTCATCTCCAGAACATAAATGAATGTCCCGTTCAGATTTAGCTCTGATTCAGAGCTGCATTACAGACCCAGATCCCTGAATCTCGTCTTGACGGTGATCTCAAAGACCTTGGAAAGCTCTTGTGGTATTGGTTGTCTGCAGCAAGAAGATCCCCACATTCCCCGAGGAGAACCGGTGTTTCTAAATCTTGAAAGTCCAATCATTAAAGGTTGTTGGTCCTTCCCACCCTACCTTGACACGACTCACTGCCTCCTGGGCTTGCATCATCCGGATGTTTTTGGAAGGGTTGCGTTCGGAGAGCAATTGGGTAGAACCCAAGTAATTGGCTGCGAAGATGATGCCATCGATGAGGTCCTCGGGCTCGCAAGGACCTGGAACTAAAAGCGGAGAAGAGGCAATGATTTCTCAAGCAGAAGCAGCCAAAGAGGAAGAATGAACTACAGGAGAGTCTTGGTGGCTCAGTGGTTAGAAGGCAGTATTGCAGGCTAATTCTGCCGACTGCCAGCAGTTCGATTCTCAGCGGCTCAAGGTTGACTCAGCCTTCCATCCTTCTGAGGTGGGTAAAATGAGGACCCAGATTGTTGGGGGCAAATAGGCTGAC